CACAGTTCAAAGGTTGAAGGACTTCTATACGCACTGGTTAATGTTGGAGTCATGGTTGATATAAGAAATAGTGGACTTCAGAACAGTTTTGTCCCAAACTCTCAGTGGGACTGCAAAAGTGGACTTATCAGCAACAGATGTCCACTCTGCGTGAGGCCACCTGTATGGCTGAAAGCTTTATGGAGGTGGACCTGGATTGCAACGATTTCCAGGGGTTCAATGGGACCTAAGTTTTGGGCCATAGAAGAGGCAAGTGGAAACTTTTTAGGGGACCTTTGGCTGGGACCCTACCAATCAAGACCCTTCCTCACTCTTCTCCCAGACTGTTGCCTAGTGGACAGGCATTGATCCACCTGGGGGAGGAAGAAAACAGAACTGGCTAGTAGCATGAAATGGAAATTGGGTGGTTACCTGTCCTATTTTAAAGACTGTGATGGAGGGCTGTGGGTACACCCAAACCTTTAGGTCAAGACCATCACAGTCAGACCTGGATATGAAGGATTATGTGATGTTTGTCATGACCGACAATGTTCAAGTTATGACACTGATAGTCTTGGAGTCCAGACAGATTTTTATACATCACTGGTTTGTAAACTCAGGTGTATCATGTTAATTTTCCTGGAGCCCTGGAGAGCTTGAGAAGCATGCAGTGTCTACAGCTGTTTATTTGGAGCTAGTCTGGGTCTTCTAGAGGTCCCTCCAAACTCCAGTGTGGATCTCAATCGACAATCGGAAGTAAAAGCTCTGTTAGAGGAGTTTAAGGATTTTGTTATGATCAAAATCCAGAATCTGGTTTGTTCTCTTGGCTTAGCTCTTCATCTGTGGGTAATAGCTGAACACAGACCCCTAGCAGGCACATGGCTTTGTGCCAAAACTGGGAGACAAACTGGGACCCATTGTCAGATGTTGTGGCAGTGACCGTTAAGGTGAACTACATAATCCAACCATAATTAGGCAATGTCTTTGGCAAAGGGCAGACAGGTACATGGAATCAAGCAGGCCATTTTGGTTACTTGATTCATTACTGTCAGGATTGTGGAGCACCCCTTTGATTAAAGCAGCTCCCCAATAAAGTCTAATGAAATAATGGACCATGGATAGGGGGGAATGGGAAGAGGCTTAAGGAGTCCATAGGCTCTTTGTGTGGGTCTTTTACTGCAGGCAGAAATACCACAGGAGCAGACAAAGTCCTGCACTGTTTTGTACAGGCAATAGCCACTAAAACAAAATGGGAGCTAAGGATCTTTTCAGTTCCAGGGTGACCTACCAACAGAGAGTCATGGCCCACATGAAGAACAATAAGTCTAACCAGACCTGGTGGCACATAGGACCTACCCTGAGTAAATATGACCCCTTTCTAGACCTGGTGGGGTTGTTATGAGAAGGCAGCCTGCTTTTCAGTGGGGATTTCTCCGGGGTGACAGCTTAGAGAAGGGACAGCAGATCCACCAGTGGCACAGCACTGATGACATTATGTCGCTTCAAGATGGGGCTTGGCTCTGACAGAATTTGTGAGGGATCAGCATCATACTCTGCCTTTTGGGAGAGAGCATCTACTTTTCCATTTTTAAGCCCAGGCTGGTAAGTTATTTGAAAATCAAAATGGGAGAAAAAAGCACCCAGCAAAGATGTCTTAATCAGTGCTTTTGCCTTACAGAAATATTCTAAATTCTCATGATCTGTGAGAATCTGTATTGTGTGATCTACCCCTTCAAGATGGAGTGGCAGAACTCCTCAAAGGCTGCTCTGATGGCCAGGAGCTTGTGGTCAAGGAGCTCATCCTTTTCTTCCTTCGGGATAAGTTTGCAAGAAAAGAAAGTGCAAGGGCATAAGGTCTGTTTCAGGCCTTGCAGCTGGGAAAATACAGCACCCACTGGAATGTTGGATGCATTGGTTTCTATTACAAATGGCAAGGCAGGATCTTAATGAGCTAGCACAGGGGCAGAGATAAAGACCTGTTTCAAGCTGTTAAATGCTTCCTGGGCTTCTGCAGACCAGGAGAACTGGAAGTTATTCCATAATAGCATAATAAGGGGGCTCACTACTTGGGCTAAGCTAGCGAAGTATCTATGATAGAAGTTAGAGAACGCTAGGGAACTTTGGAGTTATTTCACATTCCACGGCGTGTTCTGTTCTCAGGTGGTCCACACCTTCTGGAAGTCCGTTTGAAGGAGATACAATTAAACCAAGGGATTCAACTGTAGTTTGGTTCAATGCACACTTCACTCCGTTTGCAAACAGGCTGTGCTGATACAACCTTTCCAGCACTTCCTGGATGTGTATGGAATGTTGATTAGGGTCCTTGGATAAGATAAGTATATTATGTAGGTAGGCAATTACAAATTGGTTTAGGAAGTCTTGTAGTACATTGTTTATAAAGTGCTGGAATGTGGCTAGGGTGCTGGTAAGCCCAAAGGACATAACTAAGTATTCAAAGTGTTCATACTGGGTGAGTCTACATGAGATGCTTCAATTGCAGTAGATTAATTCTATTGTTCATTAGTGCAGTGGGAAAAACCCATGCTAATGTAGTAACACACAGCAGAATTAGTCTCCTTTGCATTAGCATAATGAAAAAAGCAGTAGTGCTGATTATGGCACATTAAAGGGCAACTTTAAGCACCATGAGTTTTAATCCTCATTAAATTAAATAGGTTTATAAAACATAAACTTGTTTATTTTGGAGTGTCGCATCATTGTTTGCATGCACTAGGTTTTCAAATGAATTAAATCTGGTTCCCGGCTGGTGCCACAGGAGAGCGGTATGGTCCAGCACTACCCTCCTGGCTTGGGCTCCCTCCCCCACCCACACTGTGCCTATGCCCCACCATGCAGCTGTGGAAGCAGGGAACCAGCAAGCCACACAAGAAAAAAAAAGTGGAAGCAATTTGGAGGGGTGAACTACAAAAAAGTCGCAGTGACATCTGGTGGACAAAGAAGCTCATTACACGTCTTTGAGTGCCTTTGTGTTTGCATGCAGTGAATCCATGGACTTGATGCTTTAATTCCTGGCAAGCCAAACTAAACCACATTGAAGATTTTTATTTTAATGTGCCAGAAAGACTTTTAAAGCATCCAGAAAACCCATTCGTGCAAACAGTCATGCAGTTGCAGCACAAGAAAGGGCAACAAATGTGGCATGTACATAGGCCCTAAGTTAGTACCTATCATTACAGGTACTCAATGCACCAAAATTATGGAGCATTAATGAACATGTAGACATGCCCAGTAAGTCCTGAAAGTGGTCTTGCACTCATCCCCAGCTGAGATTTGCACCAGGTTGTAGACTCCCCAGAAGTCAAGGTTGGTGAAGACACAGATCATCTGGAGTTGATCGAGCAGTTCTGGGATGAGGGGCAGAGGATACTGGTTAACGATAACTGGTAACCCAGTTCAGTGCCCAATAATCAACATATTAGTGGAAACTCCCATCCTTCTTTTTGATGAACAGGACAAGGACTCCAGCAGATGAGGTGGACCTATGTATAAAGCCCTAGGCTAGGTTCTCCTGCAGATATTTGTGGAGGGTGAAAAGTTTGGGATCTGATCTGGTGTAAATATGGCCAGCTGGAATTTTGCTCTAGGCTGCAGGTTGATGGGACTGTAACAGGAGCCTAGGGCCCTTGTTACCTTAAGAGATTAAAACAACTGCATGGAGAGCCTTAGATGGGAAAGTCTGATCATTAGGAGCTTCAAAAGAACAGGTCCCCAGGTGCTTGTAAGCTGTGAGTTCCCAAGCTAACTGCTTTACAATAGTACAGTTGGGGAGAGCCCTGCAGGGGAAGTAAGCTGCCATGGGGTGAAGCCAACATGTCTAATTAAAGAACACCTGTAGCCAACCCAGGGAAGTCACCTGACCAGAAAGAGGCAGTTCCTGGGAGACATATGAACCCAGGGCTTGGGCCAGGGCGGACAGCTGGTCCCTGAAGGTTGCCAGGGAAGAAGCTCTGGATCAAAATGGCTGTGGCTTGAGCTACAGACAGGGACTGTGTGGCAATGGGGACTGCGAATAAGGGGCTGAAGGCTTACAAGGAGTTAAGACCCAGGATTAGAAGTGTTTTTGTTAGGCTGCCAGTGTGTTTAGAACTTCTTTTATAGCCAATGAGGTTATTCTTTTGTTGCGTTTATCACCAGTGGTTTGGGTTTGGGATGAACAGGGGAGGTTGGAGGTCCCAGTTGTGTCTGAGGGGCATGCAGCTTTGGTTGAGCCCTGCCATGGGGGCAGAAGGGAGGGGAAGGAAGGGGTAGGCACAAACCCCAGGCAGGCAATAGTCAGGTAGGCCAAAGCCAAGTGATAGTAGTGGCTTGAAGCCAGGGAAGCTAAGGCACAGGCCCTGAGCAGGGCAGAGTTAGGTCCAGAATTAGGCCCAGTGACAGAGAGAGGTGGAGCCAGGGCCAGAGGCTCATAGCCCAAGAGGGATGAATTCAGTGCCTGAAGAGGGTGAGATCCAGAACCAGAAGCCCATAGCCCTAGAAGGGTGAGATTAGAGTCCTGGAGATGCAAGGCTAAAGCTTTGGTGGACCAGATGGGGGCTGCAGCCTAGAAGCCAGGTCCATCATGGTAGACTTAAACTAGAAAACCCAGCAAAAGAAAAGGGGTGGAGGTCAGGAAGACTGAGCAGTCTGAAATAGTTGTAACACAGCTGTACAATACAAACATTCTGTGTATCCATTGCTGCATTCAATGCATTCTGTTTATACACCATGACACAACACATGAATACTGCATCACTGTCATCATATGCAACATACTCAAGTCTTAAGAAGATACCTACACTTGGTCCTTACCAATCAGAGCTAAGGCATCAGCATCTCGGTGTTATGGGCCAGGGACTGGTAGCTTCATGTCAATTACTCAGTCCTTAGCTTTTGACATTACCACTATCAACCTTGGGGGTCAGTGTCCTGCCTAAATTAGAGTTGTTTTCTTTTCCTCATGTTGTGCTAAGAGTTTGAACACAAACCATAGAGCAGGAGGTCAACAAGCAGTAGCACCTTACCTACAACTTTAGGCAGTTTCTGGCGGCGCAGAGGAATTCGGGGTAGTTTCATGCTAATAAGACTGAACCGGCCACACAAACATCTTGGGGATTTCTTGACTGCAGCTGTGTCCTGGTTTATGCTAAAAAAACAAACAAAAACAAAAAAACCAAAAAACAAAAATACTGTACTTCAGTAGGAGACATTGCAAAGCACTGGAAAGAGCAGCTGTGCCAGTCTTGCAGGGTGTAAACAAGGGATCCTCATGGGGAGCAAGGCAGCTACACATTAACCATCCCTAGAGCTCACTCCGAGGCTCTGTAGAACTGAGCTGAAATGGGATAAGGAACAGCACAGATAATGGCAACCTAAGTCCAACAGAGAGCCTCGATCCCTCTCTAGTTCCAGCATGAAATGGGGCCCTTTGGGGCAGTAGTGTAATGTGAAGTGGGGGACATGATTTATGAGGAAAGACTGAGGGAACTGGGCTTATTTAATCTATAGAAGAGGAGACTGAGGGGGGACTTAATAGCAGTCTTCAACTACCTGAAGAGGAGTTCAAAAGAGGATGGAGTTAGACTGTTCTCATTGATGGCAGATGACAGAACAAGGAGCAATGGTCTCAAGTTGCAGCAAGGGAAGTTTAGGTTAGATACTAGGAAGAATTTTCTCACAAGGAAGGTAGTAAAACACTGGAACAGGTTACCCAGAGAGGTGGTGGAAGCTCCATCCTTAGAGGTTTTCAAAACCTGGCTTGACAAAGCTTTGGCTGGGATGATCTAGCTGGGGATCTGCTTTGAGTAGGGGGTTGTTCTAGATGACCTCCTGAGGTCCATTCCAACCCTAACTTTCTATGGTTCTATGATTCTATCTCCTCAGGACCACCTAAGGTGAGGGATGCTTGAAGGATGGGGTGGGAGGCACCTCGCTCTGGGTCTACTGCCTGTCTCACTCTGCCTGCATGGAGGGCTACAGGAAGAAGCAGGGTCAGACAGTGTGTGTGAAGCACCAGGTGTTCTAGGAATTGTCTTTTTGCAGGGCAGCAGTGAAATTTTCAGTCTTCAGTCCTTCGCAGTGAAATTGACTGCTGCTGGCGGGAGAATTGATTCAATTTTTTTGGCACTGAAATAAGCATTTGCCCCACCCTCTAGACATGGGTTTGGGCATCAGGAAAAATGGGGTGAAAGTTGGCAGCAGCAAACTCCATTGATACTCTAGAGAACTAGAATTCCCTGCATACCTTGCATCAACTCTGTTGCTTATGTTCCTTTGCCTGCAAGTCAGATGGTATGGAAAAGGAGGGTGGGCAGGAAGGGTGAATGACAGGGTTTCCAACCCAAGAATTTTTTTTCCTGACAATCTGCAAGCTTTTTACTGGCAGCCAAACATTTTTACTGATACATATGTTTCACATAACATAATGTAACTCTTTTGCTAGCCCTTCCCCTGCTTCCAGGCTCCAGTTAAAAGGGCTGAGTTCAAATTTAGGGATTTAATACTGATGATAATAAAAAAGTAAAACTGTTTGGTTGTCAGCAGCACATGGCTGAGAGAATGCTCTCTGCAGATTCCTGCACTCCCACTAAGACATTATGTGGTGCTGCTGTGCTCTGTCTGTCCTGTCAATGCTTCAATCAAGCTAAGCCTGTTTAGTGTTTTTAATGACAGCAATTTTTTAAAAAATGCATTTTGCCAAGAGCAATTTTTAGCCAGATTTATTTTATTGACAGTATATTTACCGACAGTTTGGCAACCCTACTGGTTAATAGTCTACCAGTAAGATGCAACTGATGACCAGTAAATAGGGGTGGAGCTAAAAGAGTGATAAAAGCTCCAGGAGGTGAGAAGACTGCTCAGTGCACATTTTTTCCATGCTACATCTCTGCTTTAGGATGTGCACTGTGCCATTTGGCAGTAGAGCCCCTGGTAGGGTGCAGCAGGGCATTATGACTTTGATTCCCTATAGACATTAACAGATGTGTTTGATCTGTAGAGAAAGGACTTGCCCCAACAATTAAATGTCTGCATCTGGCCGGGCAGCTCACAATGCCTCTGTTCTGCCCTGCTTGTGAGGCAGTTAAGTACATTGTTAAATGCAACTCTAATTGCTTGTTGCCTAAGACCCAATAATCTACTGCTAGAGTCTGGCCAACTCAAGAAAACACCTGAGGGAGATTATTAGAAGTTTCTACTTAGTGATTTTCCCTCTGGTACTGTATCCCTCCTCACATTACCACCAGTTCCAAATCTCAGTTCTTGGTGCATGAGGCCTCCAACCTTTCCACTCCAATCCAAACTGGGACACAAGTTACAGGTATTTGTTTCACAAAATGATGGCAGAGAAGTGAGTACCTTACCATACTGGTACCTTGTCTCTGCTGCAAAAACCTTGACACCTGTTCTTTGAAGCCAATCCTGTGACCTGCCACCCCTTGTGCCTAGAGAGAACTCACCATCACTATTTACATTTTTAAATAAAAACTAGACCCGTGCTAAGCAGCAAGTATTTGCTTCAGACTTGGATTCAGCTGATTTGGGGGACAGTGATTCGATTCAGTGATTCAAATCACTGTCCTGAATCTATTCAGGTGAATCAAACAGGCCCCATCCCCTGCCCGCTCTCCCAGCCCCGTCAATGGCTGCCCTACCTGGCCCCAGCATACCGGAACTTTAAAAAAAAAAAGCCCCACACTCACCAGCTGCTGCAGCAGCCATCGGGGCTTCTGGAGGCTCATGGTAGAGCCCCCCCCCCCCCCCCCCTCCACCCCCCCCCCCCCCCCATGCAGCACAGGGCAGTGGGGGGCAGTGGGGATCACCCCCCCACCTGGCAGGAGCTGGCGAGTGCTGAGGCTGGGCAAGGCACCCATTGACCCAGGCAGGGGATGGGGCCTGGTGGGGGTCCCCCCATGGTCCCTTCCCCCCTCCTCCAGCCCCCACCCTTCTTACCAGCACGTACTCTGGGTCCAGCTCCCTGTGGTGGCAAGCGGGGACTGCCTGAATCTCCAAATCTCCTCCAAATCTTTTCCAAATCAGTTCAGAGACTTCGGATTGAATTGGGCCTTTTTATTGGTCTCCTAATTTGATTCGGATTTGGAGATTCGGCTGCCAAATTGGGCCGAATCTCCTTCGAGTCAAATAAGCAACCGAAGCTTCACACAACCCTAATAGAAACCTAATTTATAGGCCTAGACCTCTTTCAAATCCTTCTTTAATGCCCCTGTCTGCTGTGCGGCCTGCAAACATCTACCTGGAAGTGCTTTGGCTGGGACAACCTACAATGCTGAAACTATATACGTATGCAAATATTTCCCTTCATCTGACTACACCATCACCAAATGCCATATGTCACCATTCCCATGCTGTGAGCTTTTTGATTTACTAGTGCATACGGAATGCATCATTCAGGGCCTCCAATTCCATAACAAAATCCTTGGAAACAATGGAAGCCACAAATGATCAGAAACCACAAGTACATCTTGGTCTAAATTTCTGGTCTGGGGATGTAGAAACTTCTCAATATTATTAAAAATGTTGAGGAGGAAGATGTCATAAGATATCACACGAGCAGATGGCTGCCTGAAGTCAGATTCCCATGAGAGAGACAGCAGAATCAGCAAATTACTCATCTCTGATCCCCTTAAATTCCCCAAAGCATTTTCCCTGTCTGTAGAATGTGTACTTCAAATTAGGGAACCAATTTGAAAAGATTTTTCCCCAGAAGAAATTTAGTGGAAAATGCTCATTCAGAACAGTTCACAGGGTCTTCCGAATCAAAGATAGCTGCTGCATGTAAAACAGAACATTATTGTCATCACTTCCAGATGAGGTACGGGGAAAGCTGATGGCCACATAGAAAAGCATGTATGGTACATAAGAAGAATCAACTTCCTTTCTCAGGTCTGATCTACGCCACGAAGTTTTGTTGACATAGCTATCTTTCACAGGTTCATAGTTGGTAGGGTCGGAAGGGACCTAAGCAGATCAAGTCTGACCCCCTGCCATGGGCAAGAAAGAATGCTGGGGTCAAATGATCCCAGCTAGGTGATTGTCTAGCCTCCTTTTGAAGACCCCCAGGGTAGAAGCAAGCACCACTTCCCTTGGAAGTTGGTTCCAGATCTTAGCCGCCCTGACTATGAAGTAGTGCTTCCTGATGTCTAGCTTGAACCTACTCTCAGTCAACTTGTGGCTGGTATTCCTAGTTACTGGGAGGGCTCAGGGGAACAGGGACTCTCCCGTTCTCCGCTGTCCCCCCTTGGGAAGTTTATAGACGGCCACCAGATCCCCTCTCAGCCTTCTCTTGTGGAGGCTGAACAGGTTCAGGTCCCGTGGCCTGTGCTCGTAGAGCCTGCCCTGCTGCCCCCTGACCATGCGAGTGGCCCTCCTCTGGACCCTCTCAATGCTAGCCGCATCCCTCCTGAAGTGTGGCATCCTGAACTGGACACAGTACTCCAACTGCAGCCTGACCAATGTTGCATAGAGGAGGAAGATCACCTCCTTGGACCTGCTTGTGATGCGTCTGTGGATGCATGACAAGGTACGGTTAGCCTTCCTGACTGCGTCCTCACACTGGCGGTGCATGTTCATCTTGGAATCAATAATGACTCCAAGATCCTTTTCTGCCTCTGTGCTAATGAGAAGGGAGTTCAGCAGCCTGTAGGTATGCTGCTGGTTCTTTCTCCCTACGTGTAGTACCTTGCACTTGTCAGTATTGAATCCCATCCTATTCTCATCCACCCACCCCTGTAACCTGTCCAGATCTAGTTGTAGTCTGTCCCTCCACCCAACCCAGCTGAAAGCAGTGACTAACAGGCCTGGGGGCAGACGTGGAGGGTCAGGTGACCCAAGAAAGGACTTATAAGCACAACAAGAGTGGCAGTCTGGCCATAGGAGTTTTAGGGGGCAGAGTTCCAGCAAGGAGCTAGGCTGGGTGGCTCAGAGGAAGGACTCTGAGCTATAGTGTGGGCAGAGGAAACCCTGCATCCTGAACCAGGAACAGATAGATACTGTGGGTCCTTTTGGCAAGGGTTTCCACAGAGCAAGATTAACCCCAGAGGGGGAACCCTTTGTTTTGGAGTGGACACTAATGTTTTGGGTTTTGTTTTCATTTAGACCAGAGGACCAGGTTGTGGTTGTAGGGGCAGA